AAAATACACATTCAAATGAAACATGTATCTAAACCATTTAGGAATAATTAAAATTATAGATCAGGTTTTCTTTCACTGATCACAAATCATGGTAATGCTTTTGTGGTGCTCATTTCCGGGCTCACTTTGGTGTGTTTATTAAAGCACGGTATTGTCAGATCACAGGGAGTATCTCATTTTCATTTTCATTTTCATATCTCCAATTCTAAAGGGAATTAAATTATCCAATTAAGCTGTTAATTAAAAAGACTCCTACAGAATAAACTGCAGGCTACCAATGGCATTTTCAATTTTCATTGTGCTGTGCTCAAAAGCAATTTTCTAAATTCAAAAGAACTCGAAGTTACTGCCCCGTACTTCACTTTATAAGGTGTGACTGGGAATGCTCCCTGAGAACTAAACCCATTTGTTCTTCATTCTGGGCACACAGCTAGACTACATGTCCCAGCCTCCCCTGCAGTTAGATTTAGCCAATGGAATATGAGCAGAAGTAATGTAGGCAACTTCAAGGACTATCGCAAATCTTCCACTCAATATCTTCCATGGCCTTTTTCCCTCCACTGGCTTCTTATAGATGAGCATACTTTCAATCATGTGTTGAAAATGGCAGAACCATAATATGGAAGGAGACTGGGTCCCTGAGTCACCAGTTAGAGGAGAGAAACTCACTGATAATTAATACCCATTATGTGTGTAATGAAAACAAGAAATAAACTGGGTTAACCCATTGAGATTATCTGTTTCTACAGCTAGTGTGATCTTAATTAAAAAAAAAAAAAAAAGCAAGTGAACTTGAGGCGCATGCAAATATCTTAAACCTAATTGGAAATAGCCTCTTGCAAATTTTGATCAGGTCCACTTAGATACATATCTAACACTGTCATTTATATGCATCTTTCCTTGTGCCACTTTCCTATACACAAAAATTCTCATTTCGTGGATCAGCTTAGAAACTAGAAGAAACTCTCCAAGAAGGGCACAACAGGCCGTGCTCAGCTGCTTATTACCCACAATCTCTGTGCCCTGTGATGTCCATTTCCTGTACATGATGATGGTATGAGCTATGACATAGAAGGGCTGACCTGGGATCCTACAAACCAGTACTTTTCCAGATCTTAGAACATATCAGTGCCAGAAAGGTGTTTAAAATAATCAACAGGGGACTCAATCTGCACTGTCAGCATAACCCTAAAAGACACCACAGAGAAATCAGTATAAATTCTATTGTATGCCTCTAGATTTGTCTGAACTCAGGGAGGCAGTCAGGCATGCAGAGTCCCATACCACTCAGTCATTGTCTAACGGTCACCAGACACTTCCAGTTCTCTGAAAGTACATCAGGCAAAGAGGCTCCAGTAGCATGAGGGCAGCCATCCTAGCGAGTCAAAGCCAATTAGAAAAAAAAGCAGAGCGAAAATGAGGTAAGGGCACCCAGTAAAAGGAATTTGCTGGGATCTGTGCAGAGGAAACACCAGTAGTATCCACCAGACAAAAGCTGAATAATTCTTTCTCTGTGTTCCAAACCACAACCTGATTGACTTATATATCATAATCACTCAGTAGGGTTATTGAGACAGTTTATATATCCATCTCCCATGTTAGACCAGACTGTGCACTGAAGCCCAGACACTGTATATTATCCACCTAAATATAGCTGGTTTAGTGATTTAAATATGAGTGCGCAGTTACTGTGTGCTGGGAATGAATAACTATAAATCGACTGGATTGTTAAAGAATGATGATAACACAGAGATTCTTTGATTTGATAGTAACCGTGATGTTCATTGTCACTTTTGTGAGATCAGCCCTGTCCCCTATCACCGTTGATAATTTCCTCAGAGGCATCTCTTTCTCTATAGAAATATTATTACAAAGGCAGTAAACCATATCTGCTGACTTACATTCTGGAAGAAAATATAATGACAACCTCGTAAATACCCTCTTGTCTATGGAGAAAGTTACTGCATTCAAATCCCACTTTTCTAAGCCAAGAAAGCTAATATAGTACAGTTATTGTACACTATTTTTTGGCAAATGTTGTGTAAAACAGGATGGAATATGTTAACAGATCTAATAGATTTTAATATTTTTAAAAAAGAAAGACACAGAAAGCCTTCAACCAACTTTTTATTGTCCTTAAAATGATTGTTTACATCGTTTCATGAGTAGAAGAAAATACAACCAGTCTCACAATAACCATTTAGATATAAAACGTATAATCCAAGAACATCTCTCTTCAAACCAGTAGGACACTGTCACTGGTGATGAGAATGTTGTTATATGAAGCAATCGTATATTCTTCCATAATTTAATATGCAACTGAGGCATTATGTTAAAGGTATCAAGGAAGAAGCCTATCGTAAGTGATTATGGAAATACTGATTGAATAAATTTATTTAGAAATGGGATAATCTAAGGGATAGAGGTTAATCCACAGGTCAGTAGACCAAAGCCCAAAGACTACCTTTCCTTCCTGTGGGATACTTGACAAGAGATTTCAGGCTTCTGCACTTCTTTGGCACAAGCATAATCTGTCTGGCAAGCCATAGTTCCTAGTTGCTTCTTAGTGATGCTCCAGGGCTAAATAAGATAAAATTTATGTGCTATGCTTAAGCTCCATTGAGGCAAGGCACTAAATAAACTTCAGGATAATTTATGAATCGTGTTTGCATTAGTGATGTCCAAGTCCATCTCATAAAATGAATAAATGAGAACAGGAGGCCAATGCTGAGCACTTAGTGAAAAGCTCAGTATACTTTGGGCAATGGTGATGAGCCCAAATAAAACCACTTTATATCTAAAATAATTTTTTACTAATCCAGGAGATTTTCACAAACACAAAAACCCTAACTCCTTCCAATGCCCAGACAATAGTTCACTGGCAGAACATCTGGTGTGTGAATCAGAGAACTGTATTATAGCAGCCCTAGTCTGATATCTAATATCCTTTTAATTTACCATCATTTTTTTTTAAACTTTATGGCTCTACTCCAGTGAATGTGCTTAGCAAGGAATGCCAAGATCTTGTCTTCTCTTCAGAGCCACATCCATAGGCCAGCTTCTCCCTACTTTTTTCTTTCCCTTCCAGTTGCATTTTACCTTTCTCTTTCTACCACTTCATCAGTGTCTGTTAATCTTAGCAATCTGTATCTAAGAGAAAGGACAGTGAGAATGTAATTGGAAGAGTTAAACATGAGCATATATTTGGAAATTCAATCCTTCTAATTGTTCTAGCTAGTAGTGATGATTTGGTATTGCTGCTTTTGGTTTGTTGTTTTGTTTTGCTTTGTTTTAGTAATGGACATCCTACCTACAATTTTCAGTATAACAGTTACAGCAAGTAAAGTGAATCAGGATAAGGTAAGCTTCTTATCTAGAAACTGTGAGGGCCCCAACTAATCACCAACCACTTTTGCTAAACCAACAAGTGACTTACTTTCTGTTTCCAAAGCCATAACTCTATGCTTTTATCAAACACTTTCTCTGACCTGCAGGAATGTGTTTATTTGGAGTTTATAAAGGAAATCTAGAAGGGAAACACTATTCATATAAGCATGACAAACCTCAGCTGATTTTAAACACCCAAGTGCAGGAATAAAACAGAGTATCTTATATGTCTATGAACCAAGTCAGAATGCTTCCTCCAGAGAAAAGACACATACATTCCCAACCTAATACTGCTTGTTTTTAGAAATACAAACTCAGGTCATATTAAGCCAGGTTAAGAGGAGGAGAAGGTAGCTGCCCTTCACAAGTTTATCCATTCAGAGAGGAAGAAGTCAAGGAGAAAATTGCTCTCCTCTGACTAATGCAGTATAATTGTTTCCTCATGATGGTGCCCCTCCATTTTTCTCCCTTCAAACGTTCCCATGGCTACAAAAGGACATGACATACACACACACACACACACACATACATATATATGTATTTTAAAAAGAATCACAAATCGCAGGGACATAAAATGGCTTCCTGTGGTTAATCTGAATTTGTCATTTTGCTTTTGAGATTTTCCTATTGGCCCACTTAACCCAGCACCTCATGTATAATGAATAATGTAAAGGGGGTATGGGGATGTCTATTTTAAGAGACCAAAAATGCCAGGTAACAACTTTAAGGACATCACAATTTTATTCTATACACACACACACACACACACACACACACTCACTAATAAGAAAGGAGTTCACTTAGAAGGATAATGCTCTAAGGATAAAACACATAGTACTGCTCTTTCTCACAACTCTTTAGATGACTTGAAGAGTAAAAATTATGTTTATTTGGACTATGCAGGGAATTTTAAATTGAATCAATAAATTCCAGAATGTCATCAATCAAGAAATTTTTTAAAAAGAATTTTTTTAAAGAGAGGTAACATTAAGCTGAAACAGAAGGGCACATTTCTCCCTCCTCAATGTGATGTTTGTTCCTTTGCACTAAAGGGGAGTGAAAGTCATATGTTCCTAATGGGGAATCAGAAAATTGTTTTCTCAGTGTCTGCTCATTTCAAAACCAGTACAATGCACACATATGAAGCTAATGAAACAAACAAGAATTCGACTAAAAACAGTGTCTAGCAGACAATCACTGCAGTTCATACAGATTGGACAAAATTTTGGAGATTTCATCTCCTAGTTTCCCTGCTGTTATGTAACTAGCAGGTTTTACTTCTTCTGGGACCTAAAGATACATCCTCATTCCCTTTTTTCTATTTAATAAACTCAAATCCGTTACCTAGTAGCCTTTCTGCCAGCTTTGTTCATGCTGACTTGAACAGGGCAATCTGCTACATCAGATGCAAGCTGTGAGACACGTTTTCATTCCAATAGACTCCAAAGCTGAAGGCAAGAACTTCATCAAAAATTGTAAAATGGAGATCAAACATATTTCTAATTTAACTACCTTAGAGTTGAGGAATGCTGTGTAATTACTGTCCATAAAAACTTGCACTGCATTCCACAGAGCAGCAAGCCCTCCCAGGTGTTCATGCACATGTCTTCATCGAGAGGCTACAAGTTTAATAGATTGAACTTTTAATGGATACATCAATTTAGGCTTCCCACAAAGCTATAGATTGAAATGGTATGTACCACATAACTGTGGCTAACACACTAAAATGGACAATAGCAACAATTTAGCAGATAGCATTTTAACAAAAGTAGCCTAGGGATTTATTTTTGTTGGTTTGATTTTCTAAAAAAACATACTTGGTTCATGCTTGTATTCCATTTTATAAGCTCTACAACTTTGAACAGATACTGTCTAGATCCAAGCAGGTCACCTACCCAAATAATGAAAATGCACTAAAAATGAAAGTCTCCAGGCCTAAAGCAATGGGCGATGAAGGCTCAGTGCAGCCTCTGCTGGCACTGTGCAACTGTCTCAGGATGCCACAAACCAGCGTCCCAGCTACCAGAGTCGGCAGGAGTCCATGCCTCTGTTCATCGTGGAATTGGGTGGACAGTTAAACGCTTTCTGGAATTCTTCAAAGTTACTAATTGCACCATTGACCCTGAAAAAAGGTATGTCAAAGCGTATGTCATACAATTCTTGCACATCAACAGGTTCTGTATAAAACTATAGCAGAATATTGCTAAAAAGAATGTTGCCATTCTTTTAATCTATTTACAGAGAGACAACTAAAGCCCAAAATGATTAAGTAAATTTCCAGAAAAAATGAACAGACTAGAACCAGCATCTCCTGAGTGCCAAGCAAATGCCCCATTACTCTTCCAACAGTCTTCAAATTCTTATAAAACTGTATTGTCACCCGTATTAGTTTTTCTAACTTTTTAAAAACTTTATAGAAAATATAACTGACGTATACAAAATATTACATGTAGAACTTGACAGTTTTTTGTGTGTATGGGCCCGTATTACTACCTGCCAGATCAAGACATTCCAGCACCCAGTAGGCTCCCGCCTGTTCCATACCAACAGCATCTCCAAAGATAACCACTATTCTGACTTCTATTGCCATAGCTTTGCCTGATTTTGAACTTCATGTGAATGGAATCCACGGTATGTACTGTGTGGTCTTTGACTTCTTTCACTGAATATGATGTCTGTAAGAGTCATCCATGTTGTTGCATTTGCCGCTATTTTTAAAGAATTCATTCAATCTACAAAAACATTTTCTCTGAATTAGTGTTAGGTATGGAAGCTCATAGTTGCCCAGAATTTGATTAATGCAACAATCAATGAATGAATGGTATCTAGTTATTACTGATGAGTAATTCTTCACTGGAGTTAGCTCCGATATATCACATTCTTATAGGCTTCCAACTACAGTGAAGACTGGATTCCTACTCAGTACTTTGATTGTAGCTGTCTTTTGGAAGTGATATTGCCGTTGTGTGATTTCTGCTGCACTCAAAATCTACAGTTACTGCAGACTTCAGTAACAAGCCAGCACACACACAAAAAAACTTCCCCCTTTCATCTACTTCTTACTCAACTCCATGTTCAAAGGGTTGACTAGAGACTCAGCATTCTCAGTCACTATTTCTTCCCTAATGACTTTGTTACCTACGGGCATTTGAATAAATGTAATGCACTATATCCAAAAAATCCCCATAACCGCTTGTGTTTTAGCTGAATATATGGGTAGGGATGCATATTTCATAGTGTGATTCACCCTAGGCAAGTGTTAAAGATAGAATATAGCTGATAATTAGTAAGCATACACTGTAAAATTCAACATTACAGGCAACTAGTTAAAGGAAATAAGTTTCTGAAAGCTTGTATCTGTTGAGTAATTAATCTACTGTGTGGTTTCATCTGCACCATTTGTCAGTGGGAACACATTTTAGTACATTCGAGACCGTCAGCCTTCATGACAGTTTAGCCCAGTGGCGGAGAAATTTCCAACACAGTGATTAGATTTTTATGCTAGTGGGTAATTTATAATAAATTTCTGAAGCATTTCTAAGGCAAGATCTTAGGAATAAGATTTTAAAATATAGAAGAAATTTTAGATGGCTTTCTTGCAATATGCTAATGGATTCATTTAAACATGAAATATAAAGATACCCAGATATAATGTCCTAAACAAAGAATGAATACATATAAATTATTATGGTTTTTGCATTTCTCATCATACTTATCTTTCCCCTACTACAGAAAATTTCTGTCAACCTATAGGACCGAGTACAGGGTGAGTAATATTAACTTTAATTTTATTTGTACTTAATGTTTTATACATTCTGACAATTTTATACATTCTGACAAATAAGACTGTAATTCATAATCCTCTTCCCTTTTTGTATAAGCTACTGTTTCAAAATATGATCCAAAGTGTAAGCCAAAATGTAGACTCTCTATCTCTAGATATAAATTATAATTGCTAAAGAATACTATGTATCCTCCTTTGTGTTCAAAGCTATTTAGAAGGTGGCCATTCATTCATGTTTGCTGTTTGACTGTGAAAGAAGAAGAGGTATTAAAGGGGATATTCTTTACAACAAAATAAACCAGAGCTCTAAGTGTTTTAAGGCAGAGTACATCAAATCTCATCCTTGCCTAAGACAATAAAGGCTATTTTTTTGGACCAAAACAGTAAGCAGTTGAGTAAGTCCAATAATGCAGTTTACTGAGACTCTTTCAAAAACTGGAAGATAATGCGATGTAATACTAAAGCTATGATTTGGATTCCAAATTACCTCTGGCGTCTTGTATAGTCTCATTGGCACTTAATGTAGCACTAGACTAGAGATATGTACAAGTACCCACCAGCAGAAATTCAGGTGAGAGAGTGCTGACTAAACCAGCTTACTACTAATGGAAGAAGATACTTAGTTTCTGTGTGGCCAGATATTTTTTGGCTGCAAAATGGAAATCATACAGTTCACAATATGCGATTTTTTTCAGATCACCTATCTGGTAGAGCCCTTGGATGGCTGGGTGGGGGAGAAAGGGGGGAGATGCACTGTTAAAAACTGCCGTCACCCCTTTGCCCATTTACCTAAACTGAGGGGGACTGTGAGCACCAATTTGGACTTGTTCTCGGGCAGCTTCTGGTCTGTAGGAATTGCACCTCACCTAGAAGAGAAAAGCATCCCAACAAATGAGCTTTCATTCCAATTATGTATTTTCTACTGTCTTAAATGCTCCAAATTATACTGAAGAATACTTTCAGAATCAATGGATGACAAACAAACAGTTTTAGTAGATCAAATAAAACCGTCATTGGTAATAACATCTATTATTCTGATCCCCAGAGTGGAAGATTTTATCAATGTGAATAATTTCACAATTTGAGTAAGTGAGAAAGGTTTTCAGACAAGTGCTTTAAATCAAGAGAATTGTATATGTGCCCAGGAATCCACTAGTGTACTCATTCAATAAATTTAATGTTTGAAATAGTCCTTCTCAAATTTAACCATACTCATTCAAATCAATAAAATGAATCAGCCACCCATTATTGAGGATGGTGATGAGAAGTTAGTAGTCTGCCCCTGAGTGCCTTGCTCGCTTCACCCTAGTCTGGGCCTAGGATTGATGTACACTTCTCCATCTCCTTTGAAGTTGGGCATGGCGATATGGCTTGTTCTGGCCAATGAAGTGTGAGCAGAAGCCAAAGTAATATATGTTACTTCCTGGCAGAAGCTTTAAAACCTGACAGAAGTTTTAAGAGCCTTAAGAACAGTTGAAGATGCTACACTAACAGCCAGTGCACACATCCTTATCCTTCTTTTCTACTTCTGTGTTATCCACAGAAGCACATGCCAAGATATAGACTCTAAAACCCAAGTTTTGTGTTTGTTTGTTTGTTTTGACATGGAGTCTGGCTCTGTCACCCAGGATGCAGTACAATGGCACAATCTTGACTCACCGCAACCTCCACCTCCTGGTTTCAAGCGATTCTCCTGCCTCAGCCTCCCAAGTAGCTGGGATTACAGGTGCACACCACCAAGCCCAACTAATTTTTGTATTTTTTTTTATTATACTTTAAATTCTGGGGTACATGTGCAGAACGTGCAGGTTTGTTACACACGTATACATGTGCTATGGTGATTTGCTGCACCCATCAACCCGTCCTCTACATTAGGTATTTCTCCTAATGCCATCCCTCCCCTAGTCCCCCACCCCCTGACAGGCCCTGGTGTGTGATGTTCCCCTCCTTGGGTCCATGTGTTCTCATTGTTCAACTCCCATTTATGAGTGAGAAAATGTGGTGTTTGGTTTTCTGTTCTTCTGTGTGTTTGCTGAGAATGATGGCTTCCAGCTTCATCCATGTCCCTGCAAAGAACATGAGCTCATTCTTCTACATGGCTGCATAGTATTCCATGGTGTGTATGTGTCACATTTTCTTCATCCAGTCTATCATTGATGGGCATTTGGATTGGTTCCTAGTCTTTGCTATTGTGAACAGTGCTGCCATAAACATACGTGTGCATGGCATCTTTATAGTAGAATGATTTATAATCCTTTGGGTATATACCCAGTAATGGGATTGCTGGGTCAAATGGGATTGCTGGTTCTAGATCCTCGAGGAATTGCCATACTGTCTTCCACAATGGTTGAACTAATTTACACTCCCACCAACAGTGTAAAAGTGTTCCTATTTCTCCACATCCTCTCCAGCATGTAGTTTCCTGACTTTTTAATGATTGCCATTCCAACTGGCATGAGATGGTATCTCGTTGTGGTTTATGATTTGAATTTCTCTAATGACCAGTGATAATGAGCATTTTTCATGTTTGTTGGCTGCATAAATGACTTATTTTAAGAAGTGTCTGTTCATATCCTTCACTCACTTTTTGATGGGGTTGGTTTTTTTTTTCTTGTAAATTTGTGTAAGTTCTTTGTAGATTCTGGGTATTAGCCCTTTCTCAGATGGGTAGATTACAAAAACTCTCTCCCATTCTCTAGGTTGCCTGTTCACTCTGATGATAGTTTCTTTTGCTGTGCAGAAGTTCTTTAATTAGACTCTATTGTCAATTTTGGCTTTTGCTGTTTTAGACATAAAGTCCTTGCCCATGCCTCTGTCCTGAATGGTATTGCCCAGGTTTTCTTCTAGGATTTTTATGGTGCTAGGTCTAACGTTTAAGTCATTGATTCATCTTGAGTTGATTTTTTTTTGTATAACGTGTAAGGAAGGGGTCCAGTTGCAGTTTTCTGCATATGGCTAGCCAGTTTTCCCAACACCATTTATTAAATACGGAATATTTTCCACATTGCTTATGTGTGTCAGGTTTGTCAAAGATCAGATGGTGGTAGATGTGTGGTGTTATTTCTGAGGGCTCTGTTCTGTTCCCTTGGTCTATATATCTGTTTTGGTACCAGTACCATGCTGTTTTGGTTACTGTAGCCTTGCAGTAAAGTTTAAAGTCAGGTAGCGTGATGCCTCCAGCTTTGTTCTTTTTGCTTAGGATTGTCTTGGCTATATGGGCCCTTTTTGGTTCCCTATGAAGTTTAACGTAGTTTTTTCCAATTCTGTGAAGAAAGTCAATGGTAGCTTGATGGGGATAGCATTGAATCTCTAAATTACTTTGGGCAGTATGGCCATTTTCACAATATTGATTCTTCCTATCCGTGAGCATGGAATGTTTTTCCATTTGTTTGTGTTCTCTCTTATTTCCTTGAGCAGTGGTTTGTAGTTCTCCTTGAAGAGGTCCTTCACATCCCTTGTAAGTTGTATTCCTAGGTATTTTATTCTCTTTGAAGCAATTGTGAATGGGAGTTCACTCATGATTTGGCTCTGTTTGTCTGTTATTGGTGTACAGGAATGCTTGTGATTTTTGCACATTGATTTTGTATCCTGAGACTTTGCTGAAGTTGCTTATCAGCTTAAGGAGATTTTGGGCTGAGACGATGGGGTTTTCTTAATATACAATCATGTCGTCTGCAAACACAGACAATTTGACTTCCTCTCTTGCTATCTGAATACCCTTTCTTTCTTTCTCTTGCCTGATTGCCCTGGCCAGAACTTCCAACACTATGTTGAATAGGAGTGGTGAGAGAGGGCATCCGTGTCTGATGCCGGTTTTCAAAGGGAATGCTTCCAGTTTTTGCCCATTCAGTATGATATTGGCTGTGAGTCTGTCATAAATAGCTCTTATTATTTTGAGATACGTTCCATCAATACCTAGTTTATTGAGAGTTTTTAGCATCAAGGGGTGTTGAATTTTGTTGAATGCCTTATTAAGATAATCGTGTGGTTTTTGTCATTGGTTCTGTGTATGTGATGGATTGTATTTATTGATTTGCATATGCTAAACCAGCCTTGCATCCCAGGTATGAAGCCAACATAAGCTTTTTGATGTGCTGCTGGATTTGGTTTGCCAGTATTTTGTTGAGTATTTTCGCATTGATGTTCATCAGGGATACTGACCTAAAATTTTCGGTTTTTGTTGTGCCTCTGCCAGATTTTGGTATCAGCATGATGCTGGCCTCATGAAATGAGTTAGGAAGGATTCCCTCTCTTTCTGTTGTTTGGAACAGTTTCAGAAGGAATAGTACTAGCTCCTCTTTGTACCTCTGGTAGAATTCGGCTGTGAATCTGTCTCATCCTGGACTTTTTTTGGTTGGTAGGCTATTAATTGCTGCCTCAATTTCAGAGCCTATTATTGGTCTATTCAGGGACTCAACTTCTTCCTGGTTTAGTCTTGGGAGGGTGTATGTGTCCAGGAATTTATCCATTTCTTCTAGATTTTCTAGTTTATTTGGATAGAGGTGTTTATAATATTCTCTGATGGTGGTGTGTATTTCTGTGGGATCGGTGGTGATATCCCCTTTATCAATCATTTTTTATTGCATCTATTTGATTCTTCTCTCTTTTATTCTTTATTAGTCTGGCTAGTAGTCTATTTTGTTGATCTTTTTGAAAAACCAGGCTCCTGGATGCACTGATTTTTTGAAGGGGTTTTCGTGTCTCTATCTCCTTCAGTTCTGCTCCAATCTTAGTTGTTTCTTGTCTTCTGCTAGCTTTTGAATGTGTTTGCTCTTGCTTCTCTAGTTCTTTTAATTGTGATGTTATGGTGTCGATTTTAGATCTTTCCTGCTTTCTCTTGTGGGCATTTAGTGCTATAAATTTCTCTCTACACACTGCTTCAAATGTGTCGCAGAGATTCCGGTACGTTGTGTCTTTGTTCTCATTAGTTTCAAAGAACATCTTTATTTCTGCCTTCATTTTGTTACTTACCTAATAGTCATTCAGGAGCAGGTTGTTCAGTTTCCATGTAGTTGCGGAGTTTTGAGTGAGTTTCTTAATCCTGAGTTCTAATTTGTTTGCACTGTGGTCTGAGAGATTGTTTGTTATGATTTTCGTTCTTTCTTTTGCATTTGCTAAGAAGTGTTTTACTTCCAACTATGTGGTCAGTTTTGGAATAAGTGTGATGTAGTGCTGAGAAGAATGTATATTCGGTTGATTTGGGGTGTAGAGTTCTGTAGATGCCTATTAGGTCCACTTGATCCAGAGCTGAGTTCAAGTTCTGGATATCCTTGTTACTTCTGTCTCGTTGATCTGTCTAGTGTTGACAGTGGGGTGTTAAAGTCTCCCACTGTTATTGTGTGGGAGTCTAAGTCTCTTTGTAGGTCTCTAAGAACTTGCTTTATGAATCTGGGTGCATATACATTTAGGATAGTTAGCTCTTCTTGTTGCATTGATCCCTTTACCATTATGTAATGCTCTTCTTTGTCTCTTTTGATCTTTGTTGGTTTAAAGTCTGTTTTATCAGAGACTAGGATTGTAACCTCTGCTTTTTTGTTTGTTTTTTTGCTTTCCATTTGCTTGGTAGACCTTCCTCCATCCCTTTATTTTGAGCTTATGTGTGTCTCTGCATGTGAGATGGGTCTCCTGAATACAGCACGCTGGTGGGTCTTGACTCTTTATCCAATTTGCCAGTCTGTCTTTTTTAATTGAGGCATTTAGCCGCTTTATATTTAAGGTCAATATTGTTATCTGTGAATTTGATCCTGTCATTATGATGCTACCTGGATATTTTGTCGATTAGTTGATGCAGTTTCTTCATAGTGTTGATGGTCTTTACAATTTGGTATGTTTTTGCAGTGGCTGGTACTAATAGTAGTGCTTCCTT